GTCCATAAATAATATTTAAGTACATGATTATGCAATATGATTTTGCATATTTTCCGTTCTTGGGCTTATCTCGCAAAATTAAAGCTAATTAAGGTAATAGACTGTGCACTGTATTGTAACACAGTCTAACGCGTAATTTGTAAGGTATATAGTAAATTAGGAATGATAAACTCGGTAATTTGAAAAACCCGAGGCAAATTAAATGTAATCTATACAAAAATCGAATACTTAACTTAGATTATGATGAAGCTGCGACATCGCCATTATCCACGAGAAAATCGTGCCAGAATATTTAGAACTTGGTATTACCAAGCTTATCTGTCAAATATACATTAAACTAGTTTAGATATATCTGAACTTCTAATAATATATTCACTGTACTAAGTAGGGAGTGTGCGCATTCTGCCTGTTGAACTTGCCTCGAGAGGTCCCTCAACTATTTCTCAAATCTGATTTGAAAACAGCCTTTCGACCGGGAGTATATATTCTATACAAGAACCTTTTGCGTTCAATCTAAAGAGTCCATTGTTACCTCTAGAAATGAAAAATTATTATGATACCTGGCACCGTTTATAAAAACAAATAAAAACGAGATTTCACTTTTTAGAGAAGTTGTCAGGATTGGTATCCCATGGCGACCACTTCAATGTACTATTTCTAGAACAACAAAAGTATCATAGTCAGAAAACATAATTATCATACATTGTAAATATATAGTTGCAAAATTGTTTAAAGTAGACGGTTATGTTTAATTCAGATGATTTTGAAATTTTGAACTTCTGCAAACATAACGTCTTTTGAGTTCATGTAGAATCCCTCTATATGTAACTCGTATATTTTGTTTGTTTTCCGACATTGACATATGCAATTTTTACAAAACATAAATAAAATATTGTAAGTATCATAGCATTAGTGTTTCTGTCTTCACTATTTTTACGTCTTATTTCCGCTGTTAATCTATTTTAAATACATGTTCACTATGATTCAAATTTTGGAACGGTTCAAACGTTTTATCAGAACATTATATAAGAAGAATTATATAAGATATAATATACATGCATATACAAAAACCTAGAACACGTTTGGGCATTTATTCCTACATTTCCGCTTGTTATCTGACTAAAAATCAGATGATCCTGATTTTATTTCTTTTGCTTTAACAAATGAAAATATATCATTTTAGGTTAAATTTAAACGGCAAATGAACAAAATGTAAAAATATTGCTATAATTGAGGAATTACGACACAAATAAAAGAACAATCGAACAAGATAAAGATCAACCAATATTTGGATCAACTGTTAAACACCCATATGGTGTAAAAGGTTATAATTTATTTTTCTAAAATTACATGAACATACTTTTTCAAGTCAACTTCTATTTTATATAGTAATGAATATAAGATGATGAATTTTTGTTGTTGTTGAGATTTCAAATTAATCATGATCTTCATCCAGATCTGTTCCGTTTCTACTCAGCCATGCGGAAAAAAATGTTATATCACATTATATCACATTTTGTAGTGCTTGAGTAGGCATTAACAGTTTAATATAATAAACTTTTTTAAATTTGTGCAGTTATGTAAAAGCAAGGGAAGTAACTCTGATGGTCTAATAGTATGTGCATTGTATTTATAAATCTTTGAATAGAAAGACAATAGATATGTTTGCTTGGTTAGTACAAATAATTTGTCGAGCTTTTAGTCTTGTGTTAAGACATGGGGGTTTCGTATTGAATTTAGCTACCACCAGTAAAGTGTGTTAACATGTTTGTGCCCTCTCAACAGTAGCATTGGGTTGCGAAGCTGGTCGAAGCCTGGCTCAGCATCAGAATTTTAGTACCAACTCTTTTATATAAAGTAGCATAAACATCAAAAGGAACAAAAACCTTTAATGGGTTGTTTGTCGTGTGGTTTTGTGTCGATCTTTAAGGTTAGATTCGTTCATGTGGTCAAACTTTTGTAAAGCATAGTTTTTGAAGAAAACTAAAAGTTAAATCTTTCTGTTGCATACGTTATTGTTAATTGATTAAGCGCATTTCACATAGCCTAGAATCTGGTAATTAAGATAAGCCGCTCTTTTAACTTGATTCAACCTTTCTAAACAGCTACAAACATTCGTTTTTCCATGAAATTTTGCAATGTTTCAAATGAAAAGTTACAGTTTCGTTTCATACATAATTAAGGTTAAGATTTAATCCTCTTTCATTTAAGAAAGCATATGGTTAATGGTATTTCATTCTTGAAAATGTGATTAGAACGTAAGCGTCACGTGCACTTTTCATCAGAACGGAAAGGAGAAGCGCGTGCTAATATATTAATGTGGCAGTTCCATTTATTCTTGTCAAAGTTGGATGAAATTGCAGCCCACAAATTGGATATTAATTACCGTCTTAACATACACAATGACAAGCTGTTGTATATGGTATTTTTACATCAGATTTTTACCCGTGATTTAAACACATTATGTTAATTAGTAATTAATACGATTATAAATTTAGCATGTTCACCGGTATCTGTATTAAGAAGTGAATGAACTATAAATGTTTTATACACGATATTAATTATTCTGAATGCTGTTGAATACAAAACATTTTGACCATAACCCTCCTCCCACCAAAAAAAATCGTTGCAATTAATTGGGATTTTGAAACAAACTCTCAAATCTATTTTTTCTGACACCAATAATAATGCTCAACACGTTTTAGGAAGGTAGAATATGAAATCCTAAAATCTTAGCATGTTTTAGGAATCTGATTCTATTTAACAATTTCATCAAAGTCCTTAACCAAAATTTGGATAATAAGGAGACATCCCTAGGGAGCAATAAAACAAAGTTTTAAAGTGAAAATTGCAGACTTGGTTTTGATAGAGATTTTTTTTCAATGGGAGATAATGCTCTCGCAATCTAGTCAATAAAATGTCAAATAAGTTTTGTCCAGATCTGGGACACAAAATAAAACATATAGTTTAGGTCCCAGTATAGATTAAAAAACATGGAAACATGCATTAAAGATAAAGTAAGCGTGGAAAGGTTTTAAATAAACAAAGCGATCAGATAATATAGGTCTAATACTTCCATGTTTTTTTTTCTTCAAAATTTCTAAAAATAATAAAAAATAAAGACCAAACAAACAAAAACATTTCAAATGTAAAATCTATATGTTGATACAAAATGAACTATACATGTTTTAGCTTCCTTTCTACAATTGAAGTTGCTAAATGAAATAAAATTTTATTCTAATTATCTATTATTTTTCAACATTTATGTTTTATTCCCGCTGTCATTCTCTCTGCCACTAAATATATATACAAAAAATAATAAAAAATAATAATTATATACATATAACGAACACAATGAAAGAACACAGTGAACGAACACAGCGAAATAAAAAGAAGAAAAAAAACACTTTGTGAAGCCAAATAAAATGGAATAAAACAATTTTGTATACGTAGACATGAAACAGTGTAACTGCAGTACATAACATGCTCAATAATACATGTAACTTTCAGGGACATTTGATACATAAAATTAAATATATGTAAAAGAAAAAAGATTTAAAATATACCCGCACATTTAATTTAATATGTCTAATAAAAACACATAATTACATAAGAAAAAATGGGCTTTTTCTTGAACTTATTATCACCCCTCGTGTAGTTACACATTTTTTTATTAGAAGAAACCTGAAAATGTACAAGTAGAGGTTTATAAATGTGACTTTGTGCACGTCAGGACTGGGGATTGGGGATGGGGGTAGTGGGTAGCTTATATTACACATTTAAATGCATAAAGTATATTTACAATAAGAATTTATATTAAATCAAGCACACACAGACTCAAACCCTTAACCTGCAGACACAGCTGTTTCTACCGATATGACCTGAGCAGACGAAGGCCAGCTACAGCCTCCTCGTCGTCTGATCATGGCCTGCACTCCCGCTTATCAGTCAGTAAATATATCAAATTTGCCCCTATAAATGATAAATTGTTTTGTCCATATTAAAGATGGACAGAGACATAGATAACATGTTATCTATGTCTCTGAGATGGACAAGTCCATTTTAAGATATTCAACGTGGTAAACGATTTATAGATATGAAAAATGCATAAGTTGATATTTTATAAAGGAACATGATATTATTGTTATGGACTATTTTCTAGTTATAATGAAATAAATTAGATACCATGGGTAATTAATTATACTTTATGATTCTTTCTTCCTCGTACTTTCACTGCCATTAAAATACAATTACTATCTCAAAATGCAAAATTATTCTGCATTTATACAAAATATTTAACACCTGTTTGACAAAAAAAAATTATTAAAAAATATTATCTAGTTTAATAAAGTTTACAACTGGATGTGTTTGATTCATCAATATTCAACGATATCTTAATCGAGTGAATTCTCTATGTAATATTTCCAGTCGCATATATCACTGACAAAAATCACATGCATTTTTTATTAAAGTAATAATGTTGTCATTCGGTGACAATTATTCCCTATAAAAGTGTTATTATTGAAATTCTAAAATCAAAACATTTTAAAATTTAATTATGATAATGATTTCAGCATTCGATTTAAATTGATGTCAATTTGAAAATTGCAGAGCATAATATTAAATCATGACATTTACAATTTTATTGGGGCACTTTTATTACACTATACTAATCTTTAATGATAAAATAATTTTACTCCAAATGGGTGATTATTAAAAATCCGCCTCCCTAATAATTCAAGTCTTGATCTTTCACAGATAATGTTTTATCAGATCCCGCAGGGAAGATCGTTCTTTTCAACAGCAAAAGAGACCACAAAAAGACCATAATACTGCTATCCGATGTTATCTGTGCGCGGGACCAATCATTAAATACCTTAAACAATTATTTCTAAAGCACGCCCCTTTCCCCGCCCACCACGATTCCTATTGGCAGAAGAATCAATATGGAATATAGGTGATAGAAAGAATACATTTTAACAGACAAAATGAAAGATTTTGTTACATTAGCTATTGCAAAACTATTCTAAGTGGTTCTAGAGTTTCTAATCTTTCTTTAATCGTGCAAGAACGAAAATATGGCAGAATAAGTTAAATCTCGTCTGTGGACAAGATTCTATGAAAATTCTTACATTTTATTCTTTTATTATCAGCCTACTTGTATTTTACTTTGTGTTTATACGAAAAAAGTGCAGTTCTGTATAGTGGATTTTGATTAAAACAATGACGGCAACAAGTGAAGGTGGGCAGCCCCGTCGGTCAAAGGGGTTTACTATAGACTCAATTATTGGAACCGATAGTGAAAGACAGACCGACAAACGATCGAAAACCCCGGATTCGGTAAACGAATGTAGAAGTGCAAAAATAGCAAAAGTATCGCATAGTAAAAGTGACTTTGACGTCGATATAGAGCGAAATAGTTTAGAAAAAGAACATCGTCATGAAAATATACATTCGCGGAAACATTTACCGCACGAGATATTACGGACTAAAGATTCACCCAGTGATTTAGACAATTCTATTCTACACAGGACTTCTACAACATTACATAGAGACTCTTTGAGAGATTTTAATTTATCTAGTGCTAATATCCGAGAAGGTGTTCGGACAGTTTCCTCGCCGGAAACACTAAGACAACTTCATGAAAATTTAATACACAGTGCTGGGGTGAGTCCCGGTGGTGCCGTGCATCTGGGCCAATTAGAGGCTCACAGACAATTTAGGCATCCACTGGCATCCATGAACATGGGCGGGTACCCTCCACAGATGCCGGTCGGGCCTCAGATGCACCCTATGCTTCTAAATGGAGGGCGTGACCTCCGACATATGTACCCCTACATTACAGACAGATATCCAGGATGTTTCCTGCCCAGATACGGTAGTAAGTATAATTCAGAATAATTTCAGAAAAAAGATGCTTGGTCGTTTTTTGTTTGTTTTCATGATGACTTACAACTTACAACTACTTACAATAATTCTTAAAAGAAAGTAAATTAGTTTTGTGGAAGCGTTGTTGAAGACCGGGTCATGGAACATTATTATGTGTTAGTTTTATCATTTATGTTCATATACATGTTCAACAAACAATTTTGTCTCTCACACATTCATGTACATATATATATATATAAAATGCATACATGTACATGTATGTATCATTGACAAAAAGCAATAAATGGAAGCTTACATTATGCGGTTTTCGGGTTGATTTAATAGTTAACGAGGTAAAATTTATGGCCATATTATAACCATAACACATTCCTAGTTCTTGTTCTGGTTAAAGCGACAAGAAATTATCCACGCCATTTCACAGATAATATCTCCCGTTTCTCATACAATGAAAGTCGTTATGTGAAAACTTAACAATATAAAGGAATAGACGAACAGGCGGACGGACAAACATTTTTTCACTGAGTTCATTATTTAAAATATTCGTTAATGGTTGAAACAATAATTAGAATTTCAACATGTATATGCATTAAATTACTTAAAAAAATGTATAAGTGATAATATTTTTTCTGAAAAATAACAATTTTAAATAAGTTCATAATAAATAATCTTAAAAATAATATGAAGCAATTATTTGGTGTATTATACTGTAGCATGTACGAACTTATTAAATTTTATGTGCAAATAAATGATAAACTGCAGGTACATTATATTTCATAATTTTAAATAGATAAAAAGTCATTGTGGCTGATAACAAAAAATTAAATTTAATTTAGGAAATCTACAAATCAACGCATATAACCGTCAATATACATGTGCTCTCAATAGACCGCGCGTTTTTAGATATAATCACTTCCAAGACTTTGTTATACAATTCATTTTAATGTGTTTTTTTCCTTCAATTTAATGTCTTTTCTGTTGTCATTTTATTGAGGATATGATAATAGACATACTTCATGTTCTGAATGGAAAGTTATTAAAACACAATATACATGTGCAGGGAAACATCTGGGAAATAAGGCACCTGTCATATACATAAGGTTGTCTTTTTATTAAGAGACACTATAAAAACCCATGTCCTAACAATGCCATCAACACATCAAAGAGTTGCCGGCATTGTTTAACCCCTTATATGCATGATGATAGCGCATAGAGGCCGAATCAAATGCTTCAAAACCATCCATTCTTCTTAACAATCCATATTTTCGTAGATGACAAAAACCCAACAGTAATATGGTATGATAACACACAATACAGTTATATAGGAATATCGCAGTTAATGCCGCATGTTTTATTACCTAATGTGTTAGTCTAAGGCGTTATCTACATATTTGATCTATATTTGTAATCTTAATGGTGACTTTTTGCACCTTTCTATGTGCATGAAATACGCGTGCGCATTCATATAGTATCATTAGTCTTCATTTGATCTTTGATTTTGGTAATTAACCTAGATTTTCTGATTTCGTGCATTGATTAATATTCCGTCTTTTGAAGTCTTTCATTGTCTTAAATGGGCAACAGTCTTCTTCAATACTATGTTAACAGGGACATTAATCTTTTACTAATTAGCAAAGATAATCAGTAATTAGTAATGTTATAACCTAAACATGTCGGTGCCACACAAAAACGACGTTTTTTGCCTATACGTCCTTCAAAATATCTAATAAACTGTAATTTTAAGCGAACTGTTTTTTTAGATCTTAGTTTAACATTGTCGCAAAACGAAATAACTTGCATTGAAACGAGGCTCTTCTTTGTAATATTAGAATATTCCAAGGTCCCAGAAGCAAATCTAGCTTAAAATATATTTTTTTTAAATTTCAAACAATACTACATTATCTGTTCTATATTCATATTAATTTATTAAAAAAATATAATATGGTTCTTATGAAATTCAACAAATTGTTAAAGGACCTATTACCTATCCTATTATATCTACAAGTAATTGAAATTAGTCCCCATAGGGATGGAGGTAATGGACATTTTTTGGCAAAATTATACAAACCCAACGTATTAACAGTGAAATCCTAGATTATTTCATTTTAAATTTTTACATGTACATATCATCATGTGTCATAAAGATGTTTTATAGTTAACAATTTACAGAAATATTGAGTATATTTTATCAAAATATAAAAGAAAGCTAAACAAAACAATCAAGAATGCTACGAAAATTATTGTTGCATTTGTTTAATGTTGCTTGATTTCCAAATATTGTTCATTTCTCCATCCATATGGAGACCGATTTCAATATAAATAAACTTAAAGATACATTTTATTTTAGAAACAATACTGTTTATACATTTTATCAATGTGATTCAGTTTTTGGCAAAAGAAATCCCAGTAGTTTTTAATGAACCATATTCATGGAGGGGGTAAAACAATTATGCCGAGTTCATTCAACAATAATGTTTGTTGTCGTGATCTGAATAAAATTCAACAAATTACTCATAAAAAGTTATTGAATTTGCTTAATCTTTGACATAGATAACACATATTTTATTTAACCTTTATTTTTCTTCTGACTTTACAGTGGGTGGTATGCCTGGACTGTTTTTCCAACCATACAGAAAACCAAAGCGAATACGTACCGCATTCTCCCCAAGTCAGCTGCTTCAGTTAGAGAAATCATTTGAGAAAAGTCATTATGTAGTTGGTCAGGAGAGAAAAGATCTGGCCAATGAACTTCAACTTACAGAAACGCAGGTAAATATAATTAGTATATTTAGATCATGTTCAGTTTGATAATAAAAAAAATCCAAATAAAACAACAGTTCTTGTAAAAATATCTTTTTATAGCACGGCGATTATCGTTCTTTTAAAGACAAGTCAATAAAAACACACATTTTATAAACAAGCAAATAATGATACGTAAAACAACAACAAACAACAGCATCAACAATAACAACAACAAAACAACAACAATCAATTGTTCTATCTTATTACAATAAGAATCATTTTAAAGTCTAAAGTTCTAATGAGAAAGCGTTTTTAAATAACATGCACGTGAACGAAATATGTCGTTCTAATAAATTCAATGGTACAAATAACAGTAAACATTCCAAAACGTACAACATTCTAATAAGCGCACCATTTGTTCTCGTTACACAGTTTTAATAGGTTTTAACCAATCCATTACTTTCATGTTATCATATATTACCAAGCTTTGACTCGTAACATTGTGTTTAAAATACATCTGGATATCTTAGCACAAATGATCGTAATTCTTATTGTGATAAAAATACCAAACAGCAGGCTGCTCGCACTCCTCCCTGAACATTTGTAAAATATATATCAGAAAAGAACAGAACAGAACAGAAACTTAATTTCAGACTTGTACAAAATACATCGTCATACACAATACAAACAATCAAATCTATTTAAATATAAGTCACATTACATACAAATGTTAGCAAAGCACATGTTTTTATTACTTAATCTATAATGCCCTTTACACAAATCATATCAAAATATTAGCAAATCAAAATGTAATATATATTTCTTTTAAGTTAAACATTATGCAATCTACGCTATGTTACACAGAGGATTAATCGTGAATTTAACGATATCACATACTGGTGCCTGTAAAAGTTAAAAAATATAAAATTAACGGAAACGTTGAGTTATTTAGATCTGGTACATTTCATCACAAAATAAGAATAATTGTATAAAGGGATTTATACAAATAGTACATCATCATATACAGATATATAAACAATTTACAGTATCAAATTTAACGTCGCAATGAGTTAACAATATGTCTTAATAAGTATCACAACTTCCTGATTATAAAAAATACAATAAGTGATACGTTATTGTAGTTGTAGAAAAAGAGATAGTGCAAATTTGATATAAAAGCTAGTTTTTTTTTGAAAATGAAATAGATGGATATTTTTAATAGATCTAAATCTTAAATGAACAGTAAACAAACATTTATGGAAAAAAATCTCAAGCATGTATCTAAGATAACAGAAAAAAGTGTCCACTGCATTTACAAGATCAATGAAATGATCTTCATAATAAACACGTATCGACGTATCGTAATTCTTGCAATTGTACGTACTTGTTGTGATATTGGTTAAATCTGGCATAAAAGTGTTATTTGCTTTTGTTTGTTATATTTGTACACAAATTCAATGAATAAACGATACCCGATATTACCTGGGGCTCAGATAGATGCATGTTTTTAAATACATAAATAAAATATCTATTACATTTGTCGTTGAAATTCAATAATTTTATTTTTTCTGAAAATGACAAGGGATAATAATTGAAACAATATGCATACGGTTTGAAAAAAAATGACAGAAGAGGTAAATATTCTAGAAATAAAAATAATTCTAAATGGTGATTTTTTTAAAAACTTTTCAACGTAGTTGTTTCCCCTTGAAATTCTAATGTCTGATTTAAATAAAATATTTAATTTGAGAATGTCATGTTATAACAGATTAATTGAACAACTTAGGGGGATAATAAGTGTAATAGTATTTCAACATGTTTTAAAAGATTTACTGTCAAAAACATATTACCATACGTTACTTGTTAAATTGTGCATGAAAAATTACAAAGTTATTTGTAACTATTACGATTTATACAGAATCATACTGTATAGATATTGGACAGTAATTGTTGTTAATGAGTCAGTAGGTATTTAGTAGAAATTTATATGTTAAAGAAAATCATGATTAATTTGCCGAAATAACTGATTTAGACGCGATAACCTCACCGAAAACATGTAAAAATTGCGTGATTTACAGATATACTGACACCGTCTACAAGTGTTAAATTACCGACAAGTTTGTAAATTGGGGAAAAGAAAAAAAAAACAACGTTAGAAAAACCACAATTTCTTTTTTTCCCATGTATTTCTTATTTTACTTTTACATATACATTTAGTAATACTGAAACAATAAATCAATAATTTAATTAATGAATTTGGTTTCATAACATTTTATAAAATTTAATGAAATTAATAACTACAGATTTATTTACGTTAGATTTATCATGTAATGAAAGATGTTTATGTTTTACCTGTTGAGTTAATGAAGAATAATGAAATTTACCAGAAAATAACATAACCTAACTTTAAAACGGATGGGATCATCGGGTGCCTATTCGATGTAAAAGTAAGAATGAACGACCCGCGCGACAATGGTTTCTAAATTACAAAGTAATTATTTTTTATTACAAAATCTGATATGGTGATAGCGTTCTTTATACACGACGATGAAACCCTGTGCAGCCATTATTTCTGTTAGAAAACACCCCCTGTGACCTACAAAATAATAAATCATTTTAAAAGGGTGGATCGAGTGTGCAGTAATTCGTCTAAATTGAGTCATATACTGGAAATCTTTTCAACTCTGGTGTTTAAATACCATTTTTGATTTTATCAATTATGTAATATATGGTTCTCTTTTTGATGAATGCCCTTTAGCCGATAAAATTAATGTTTTGTGTAGTGGTTTTTAATTCAGGCTTGATGATTTCAGATCAATCCCTTGAAAAAAAGTAGTCCTGTATTTTTATATAATTGAACCTGTAGTAGTGATATCTAATTAATTGTAAATAATTATGATCACATATCACTGATACTGGCTTCAAAGGGACGCTTGCGAACGACATACACAATTTCTTTTGTCTGAATTTTTTTAAACAGTCAATTAACAGACGAAATAAATATAGGATTTCAGTTTTAGAAATCGACCTAAGATTAATTTTGTGTGTGTGTTAAATAGTTGATAAATCATTCCAAGACAAAATATTTCAAAATGGTTGTGCCAATCAATTTTTCTTAATTGACACACACGCGGCTTGTATCTAATTAAATGATTAAGCAATATTTAAATCTTCTAATTGGCACATGTATATGTCATTTATAATTTATATCTGGCACCAAATAGGTTCTACTTAATGTCGGACTTAATGTCGGACTGGCAAAACACGGTATAAAGAATCAAATTTTATATTAGAAATACTTTAATGCATACTGAAGATGGTATAAAGTGTCTCTGATAATGTTAAATGCTGATAAAATCTATCACCATTGTGGTATTGTTAAACCAAAATGTACAGAAGATAGCATAGTTGTTGTTACTAATGATGGCAATAATGATGTTGTTGCTGCTACTGTTGCACATTGTGATAATGTTGGTGGTAATGATAATAATGATGATAATTATTATTATTTTCACAAAATATTGTTAAAAAAAGCACAACACAAAATGATTTTCCATTTTGAAAATACTATGTCTAATGTTAGAATATACAATCAAATTACATGCAGCAGACCGGAATAATTGACTTTCAAAAAACGTAAGTCACAGATAACTTTTGGAAAGTAGCTATTGATTGTTCATCCAGAGTATCAAACAGTCGGATATTCTCTTCACCAGACTGTAATTGTACATTATAAAAAATATGATATTGCTATAAGATAACTTTTTTCACAGTTTCTTAAACATTTAAACAAACACTGATCATGGTGCCCTTTAGTATATCAATTTCAAACACGGAAAATGAGCCTTGATAAAAACAAACAGCATATAATGCATTCATAGCAAATTTCTAATTTGATCTTTTGAGTAAATTATCCGATAATGATATCAATTTCATAAAGCACAGTTGTTGTGTCTATAGTGGCAGCTGACAAATTGAGTGTAAGTACCCAATCGATGCAGAATAACACGCGCCGAGTGTCCAACTTAATTTTCTCTGAATAGCATGACAGCGGCAATTCTTTTATTTTATCAAATATTGGGCTGATACTGAGGGAGATTTAGACCTCCAACCAGCCAGTATATCGCATTAGCAATACTAAGCCAATTAAGAATCAATCAAGTTTTGCCATTATCACAACTTTATAGACACTCTTGTTGGTCTGCTCTTGGTCTTTAAAAGCAGAACTCCGCCCCGGGGCTCGTAATAATTACAGTTTAATTCCAGTCCGATAGCTAATAAAGACAGCAATTTAAGCGGGGAAATCAACGCTAATTTGCCGGTCACGGTTGTTAAAATCTTCAAGAGGTTTCCAGCGACCCCTGACGCGGTTTTGATACAGGACGTTTGCACGTTCGCCTCGTGGGATCGCAGATCCAACCGATATCCGTTTACTTCCGATTGAATTCTTTAAACATTTGTGAAAATTGCCTTTCACTGTATCAATTGTGTTCCAGTATTGTTACTTTGAGCAAAGAAATTAGATTTTGATTTCAAATTCCTTTGCTGTAGTGTTGCCCCTCCCTATGGAATTAATTATCCGCCTTTTGCATATAAAACCCGACCACCGGCCCAGAATGTATATATTGCTCTGTTCTATTGATCATGTGATCTAGACTGGACAACAAATTTAAACAATTACTCTTTTTTGTGTTTAATAACGTCAGGGGAAAGGGTATAAATTGTAATCAAAAACAATAATTGTAAGTTATCTGTTATGGGATATATGCTTCGTTTGCCAGAAGCGGGGCCATCTGTAATCGGTGACCTTAGCTTTTCAAAAATAGTTATGCATCTCTTTAAAACTGACGGGTTTTATCTAAACAACCATAACTCCCTGCTAATTAGTGCTTTACAAATATATTGTTTCAAGTATGCAATTTGATAATAACTCAGTCATATCTCTCGGCTGCACGGTGTATGGTTAATGTTTTGTTTGAATTACGAGATTGCATTAGGAGATCTTTGTATACTAATTAACCAAACTGTTTCATCATAAAGGAAACGCAAGATAGAAAATAAAGCAAAAGTAATTAAACTGAATACGTTCTCTTTTAAAGCTTCCAGGTGTATCAATAATTTCAATATCCACATAGAAATATTGCTTATCCTTTGTGAAATTATTTGCCGTGTAAAAAAGGTATAAAACATTTAAGAAAACAGAACGGGAAACATTCTAAATACTGACAGTTTTGGCTTTAATAAGTTATTTGGGTTAATTTTGTAGGTGCATGCATATACATGTATAGTGTATATAACATAACATGCTTTATATGAGCGGAAACAAATGATGTCATTTGTGTTTGTAAAGTTATAACCAGTACATTGCAAGTTTTACAAATACACTTATACAAACTTTTCTGGATCAAAATTCATCTAAAAGAAAACTTATAAACATTATACATGTAAATTGTCATAAACGTGTTGTCTTTCACCAAAACTAATCAAACACAGGCACTGGTATATGTTGAACATTTTATGGAACTCAAAAAGAATAATGGATCCTTTGAATAAAAATAATATTCTTTTCATAATAGACATGTACATTGTAAGGCATACAAATAATACACACCATGCTATTCATATGTGTGTTTGTTAATACAAAACATACATGGATATAACAAGATTCCTCAAGTATAAATGATCTAAATTTAACTACCTTAACTAATTGGAGGTAGGGGCATTAAATTTAAACAGAGTATAATATATGATATAAATGAACTTAATTCAAAACTAAATATACTCAATCTTGCATATATTTTGTCTATTTCAGGTAAAAGTATGGTTTCAAAACAGAAGAACAAAATACAAAAGAACAAAATCAGAACAAGATGGCGGGACATCGGGTGATGGTCAGTTTGATGAATCTAAATCTGAAAGTGATATAAGTGACATTGACGATATTGATGACGTAGGCGATGAATACAGTGCGCATGCGTATCACCATGTTATACAAACGTGCTAAAGGTGACAGAATTGACAAAATATACTATATAACGTGCAATTTCTTTGTGATCTACTCAGTCTGTATCATTTTATTTTTTTAGACCACTACTACCTTTCATATTAAACACAATTTGATTTTTTGTACGGTGAACTATTTTCTCTCTCTTCATTGTTATGTAATATGGTTTATTAGCAGACTCTTATATACTTCCCTCATACTGTATTCTAAATAATTAGAATAGATAAACTAGAACTATCACACCCACCTCTAGAAACATATGAATACTTCAAATATTCTAAAAAGGTCCTCTCTCCAACTGCAAGTACGTACTTTATTTCAAAGAGATAAAATGATTATAAATATCATTACGAATTGATATATTTCATGAAGTTGGATTCTAAATTTTGATATACAATATGTTTCTGCAATATAATAAAATACGGGTGTGTAAAATTTAAAGAAGACAAGAATATTGTCTTCACAATTTGTGTATTGAATTACATCATCCATCAATTATACCATTATCGCTGTATTGTAAAAATGTGTTATAATTTGTATGTATTAAAGTGCTTTCTTTTAAATTTAGAATTTATTTAAAAGATAAATAAAGAATATGAAATACATTTCTTAAATTTTGTTGTCTATTGTGAGGTAGAAATTGTTCAAAGGGAACAATTACATGCATCTGAATTCTGAGTCAAATGTTCTCATCTCGGCCTTTTGAGTAAAATTAATATGTAGTTCGGTGATAGATGCTAATGTAGAATTATGCAAGAAATCTCAGATTGTACATAGAAATGTATTCGTTTTAACTTCCAAATACTGAGATACTTATACATACAGAAGTAAAACATAATATATTTTCGAGTATATACATTAATATTCAGTTACAGATTAATTTCAAGAACAGATAATTCGAACCCCAGTACTTCGCTTACAATATGTCTGTTATTATATTCTCTAAGATCATGCACGGTTTAGATAAATTCTGTTATGTAATTTTCCAATCTGCTATATGTTTATAATTATGTAACCATAGCTAACACCTCTACCAAAGCAAACGAATGACTAATATTATATAGCGTTAAAAGCCATATACTTTGACGTTTGATCGTTTCTCAAAAGTGAACAAAATAAGGAGTAAAAAGATATCATCTTTAAAACTCGACACTTTCAATTTGCAGAACTGATATTGTTTTTACTAGATCAAGATTATAACTATATACTATTGTAAAACATTTCCCCTAAATATAATCTACTGCTTAATTTTAGTATCATTGTTAAAGTAATATTTTCTTAAATAATATTGAATTTTATCTTGAGGGGAAGCGCTATGTCCATGTCCATGGAATGTAGTTTTCTTCACGTTTTTATTTAATTTTGTAGCATTATCTTTAAAGTAACATTGTTCTTAAAAATATAATCAATGCGTTTGCATGATGAAATATAGAAGAACAAGGAAATAGTTTCGGTAACTTATACATTTACCGTATCTCGTCACATACAGTAATTACAAATACAATAATTCCGTGGTCACATGACAAAAGCATAGAAAAAGGATAGAAAAAAATGAAAATATAGAAATAAAGATTTAAACAGTTTAAGTAATGACATTCTAGAAACTTTGAGTAAGCTTGTTTCGAACGGAGAACAGCCAGCTGCAAATAAAGAGAAAGAACATCATACATGCATCAAATATGCACAATACATGCTTATTTACAATAAAAGCAACATCATAATTTATCACATATCGACAATGATATATACGAGAACATTCACCTCCCAGTAAATGAGTGATACGGTTCCAAAATACCACAAGCGAATTAGACTAAAATAGCTATAATGAAACAAAATGTACAAATCTACTAGACTTACTACATTATGTAACGATTTATGAATATATTTGATAACAAGACATGGATATAAAAACGAAACCCAGCAATTGTACAAAATGTAACAAAAGACTATCACAATATATAAAATTCAACTTAAAAAAAAAAAAAGAAAACATGTTAGATGTTTGAGGCTAAAATGTTAAAATAACCGTCAGAACTAAGGTTCAAGAACACTCTGTCAAAGATTTATCTCTGAAACTTAAATGCAAGAAATGTTTGTATTTCTTAAAACAATGACGACATGAAAAATGGAAATGCAGTGAGATGTCACCGTGCATTGACAAAACCGACTCGACAAGTTAATGCAAATTGAGTGCTAATGGGAGCGTCTTTAATGCATTTTTGTACATCTTAGAACTCTGATTTACTCAAGAATTTATAAAATATGTAAATTTAAATCAGGGAAATGCAGCATTTAGATAATGCTTTGTTTTCTGCAGACATGTTTATATCTAAAAAGTTACGCTATCAGCGACAAGACAGTGAATGCAAAATAAAATTAACATATATAATATTGACTATGGCATACAAGTAACTTTGTGACCAAATCAAAAGATGTTTTATAAGACGCAGGAATTGCATTTATTGTGATAAAGAAGATAAAAGCTAGTCACAATGTAAATGTAATGGTACAACATTATTTGAAATGATATGTCTTTCGGCATTGCTACTTTACACACAAAGGTGCATAATTATGTTTCGTTTTTTTTCGTGTTTTTTTTCGAGAAAAGAGGAAGAACAAATGCTTGAAGACACGTTCGGCCATATCATTCCATTTTGCTATTACATCCTATCATATAGCTGCAGACACCCTTTCAAGTAAAAAGTATTCACTTGATATTCTCTTCCTTGAATCTGAGATAATAGAAATAGTACGAACATTGGTATATTTGGAGTAATATAACAAAAGTGAAATAAAATGAAAACTTTATAGAATGAGACTTTGATAAAGTCCGCCCTAGAATATATTTACCTTTGTTGCGTTACTATCAAATATAATAACAAATAAAGGGCATACTTCGAGGAAACATACATTTTCAACAATTTCACCGGGCATAAATTTCAAGTGAAAACAAAACACAACTAATTCCTAAACTAACTATAAAACCGCGTCTACAAAACCAATAATAGTTGGAACCAGCAGGATCAACGAGCTGCGCATCCCGCAGTCTATCAGATCCACTGTCGCTGTTCTACTAATAGTGTAAGCGACAGCAGGATCCTGATCAGAGCGCGATCCAGCGGTCTGATCATGCCTCGCAACCATATTGTTTTGACACGGCTCTTATGTAAATATTACAAATTCAGAGAATTTCTGTAGATACAACAAATATGAACTTTAGTTAAGGAACAAACATCCTGAAAGTTATGCTAAATTATGTAATCAAACTTCGAGTACCAGAATTTGATAAGCAGAGTTTAATTCCAGTTTTAACAAATATCCATCTTAAATCAATTTAGTTATATATCTCATATATGTAATTATTGTACTGCTCTATTGTATGTAATCCGTATGAGGTATGCATATATTATATATATGCGGAGTGCGCATACGTTAAATATACCAAACCCCAATTAAAGTGAACAAGAATATAAGATCATGTGTGTTCTTTAAACACTGTCAGCATATACAAACATATCATGAATTGTTTGTTTCCACTATAATATACGCTAACAAGAGGACAAAGTTATCGCAAATATTGAATTCTATTTTTATCTATACTATACAATAAGTCACTAAATTGTTAGAATATCTATCAAACTCAGTTATTGTTATGATGATTTTATATCATACATATGACAATTTCTTTTGGTCAGTTTTTAGACATAAATCTTTAATTTTACCAGGAAACTTACAAAACTACATATATAACAACATTATTATACTAAGAAAAGATAATTATACAAAAACGCCCTGAACTATAATAAAGATTTAACAGAATCGGAACGTTTGGTCAGTAGGATAGTTATCTATAAAGCATTAGAATCACGCAGTAAGAAAATAATTTGGATTAAAATGTCAGCTACGATTGGCAATTAACGTTTGTCCTTGTTGAGGGCACATTACAATTAATTGTAGTTTTATAAACCAAATCAACACACTAACAAATAACCCATCATAGAAAAGTGCCTGACCACCGACGTTCCCATAATTGGTTAGTAATTGTGTTTTTATTAACCTTATGTTCAAGGGTCGACCTCTTCAGAGTTTGTTAGAGAAGGACGTGACTTGAGAATTAAATCAAGGCGGTGCTACGAGTGAGACACCGCTCGAGGCTGTCGCCGAAAATTACAAGTCTAAATTAGGATAATTTTCATACATTTAAAACGTCAGTGTCTGAAAGAATAATATAATTAATAAGTGACAATACTAATGCATGTAGCCTTTATCCGTATTTTTGTCTCTTTCCTATTAAATGTTTAGCTACTTTTCTCTCTTTCGCGAGTGAGGGGAAGTAACTCAAACAAAGAATTAACAATTACTTTTGCGTGCTAATTGACCCTTAATCGTATATATTAAAATAACGATAACTTACAACTCAATTTCGATATAGACGTCTTTTTACCTGATTCAGAAAAGAAAAGCTATACATTTTGATAAGAAAAAGAGCATTCACATCTGACGTGGAAGCCAAAGATGAAATTATCTCTGTAGAAAAGGACAACTTAATGATACTAATGAAAACAAATGCGTTGAAATTTACAGAACAAATCGGCAATTATTCATTGTCTCAATTTCATCTTTAATGTAAAGTTCGAACCTTGTAAAAAGAAAACGGAAATCAATTAAGAAAGCCGTATGATTAATAGCGTTCGGTGTATAATTGGATGAGAGGAGAGAAACTGAATAACGTTCTTGCTGTTTGCGCGCACGCTCTTCTTCTAAAAATAATTAGAGTCAATCTTGGGACAAACTGAATTCAAAACGAAAGTCAAACACGCTATGGTGACAAGCAAAGTTGCTAAAACCACGATATCTTCCTATAATACCGATTGATATATTGCTAATTTGTAACAAATATGCTTCTCTTGAACAAAACCCAGAGGTCTTATTGACTTTTAATGGAATTTGTAGAAGTTCCCGGCAACATAGACTGATAATATGTCGCCGTAATTCGTATTTGATAGAGAAGAAGTGGTTTCTAATATCACTTTATTTGTAATCCCAATCAGACTGCATTAGCAGATGATTTATTGATATGTTTTGTTTTCGATACGTCACGATATCTTTATATATATACATATAATCCTGCTCTTTTTATATGTAGTTTTTTTTATGGTTTTTAAAACATTCTGTAGGAAAAAGAAGTGTGCAGTTAAATTTTAGAAAGATGTTCATGTCTTGTATAACACGAGGGTGAAATCTGGTAAAAGTTGAAATATTCTAATATTCAAACTAAATACAA